AGTCTCCTTAAAACCACATTTGCCCCCTATGATGCAACCGGGTGATCGCAAATCGGTCACTAAGATAAAACAGCCCACAAGCTATTGGTAGGTGTGCACTCGCTTACTGGACCTCTGTGAACCAAAGAAGACTGATGCTTAGATTTGCAGAAAAGACAAAGTAAAAAATGTGATTGATAAAAACTGGACCATCCAACACTCCTTTTATAGAGTGTTCTCAGATCTGAAAATCTGTACGCGCATGAAAAGCACCCCCAACCCCCCTCACCTGCATGAAATATCTATAGTACTCTCCTCCTATGGGTATCTACCCATAGAGAGAGCAAAACTACAAATATACTCTACTTCCACTCCTTTCCCAAGCAATATGGAACAATGAGTCTTCCCATGCACTCAAGAGTGGGAAAAGGAAAAGTCAAACACAAGGGAGGGAGGTCTCTCCCTGAAAGTAAAAACCTTACATTAATACTACCAATGATTTAGTTGGTCATTTCCCGTCGATGGCGTTAAAATTATCTAGTCTCTACCTATAACATTGTGACCTTGCCATTTTGATTTGGAAGAGATCAAAGGAAAAATAAATGTCTTGTCTTGTATTTGAAAAGGAGAAGAATAGTCAGGAGTTCGTTGAACTTGGATTTGAACCAAGGAGGAAGAAGATTTCCTTTCTCATAAACCTTTTCCCTACCTTTTATTTGATTTAAAATTAATATGAATTTAATATGTTAAAAATGGGATGGGATGAAACGTCCGTTAATCCCACTTCCACATGTGAGATTTGCACATGTTGCGGTCTTCACATGACACCCTTTAATTTGATGTGCAGGAGATTCAAATTCGTAAGGAGTAAGTGAAATATCTCTCATTCTCATTATAAATATACCTGAAATTGCATGTGACATTCTTAGATGTCAACTCAAGGACGCTCTTGAAGCTTTGGCCATCCCACACTCCACTTTTGATCTAGTGGGTGTTTGGCATTGATGCCATTTTTTAAGAAAACGGTGCCATGTAGGCACCACATTAGAGAAAGTGGTATTTCAAACAACGCCATCTTCTTTGGTACTGTTTTTCCAGAGAAAATGTTACTATAGACCATGCCTTGGAAATCGGGAAAATGTGATCCGAAGCAACGCCAAATTCAATGTTTTCTGAGAAAACATCATGTTGCTGCCAACAATATAGTGATGTGGTATCATCCTGGATGTTGGGTAATATAGATCAATGTTGAAAGCATTACTGCCAGCACTAGTACCAAACAGAATTAGTGATGTTTTCTCAAAAAGTGCCTATGTGGCAGCACCGGTTCCAAACAAAAAATAAGAAAAAATGGTACTTACAACTCCACATGCTTAACATTATTTTTATGAGAAAACGGTGTAAGGTTCCCAGCACCGATGCCAAACACCTACCTAGTTTGTTCTACAAGCATGTAGAAAGGTAGTAACAGGTGTTCCATGCATGGTCATCAAAGCTGTGTTTGGTTTGAAGGAAAAAGTAGGGAAAAGAAGGAAAAAGTACGGAAACCTTTACAAACCTTATATAGATTTTTCTACCTTTCCCTTCCTTTTCCTACCTTTTCTTTCAAACCAAACATAGCCCAAGAGGCTGGAACCGAGAGAGACAGTCGCAAGGACTCAATGTCAAGCTATTGCAAACATTCAAGTTCCCATATAATCCGTAGGCATGACACAGATTTTCAAGACAAAGACCAAAACATATTCCAGTTGTTAGTTTGCATCGACCATGTGTACTACTTCAACTAGCCAAAGTAATCGATGGAAAGCCATGTAAGCCTGAACCTAACCTGATTTTTAGGTCTATTGAAAATCACTATTTAATTTTCCGTGTTTGTTGCATATAAATGATGAAAAAAACAAATAATTTTCAAAAAAGTTGACACTAATTGTTGGAAATAGGTCCTAATTCTTGCAATTTCTCAACTGGTGCGGCTCCATGCAATGCATCAGAAAACCCATTGTCCTATATGATGATGGAAAGAATTAAAAGGAAATGTAAATCTTACAAAAATAAAAATAATGAAAGAAATCATAATTAATGCCCAAGTCAACAATAATATATTTCAAACATAATGAACTTATATACAGGGATAGGTTGTTATCAAACTAAATAGTAAATACACCCAAAAATCCAAATTCTAGAATTAAATAGAGAAATGAATGTACCCTAGGAATTTTAGTTAATTGGATAAAGAATTAAATGTCAAATAGATCCAAATTTGAGATATTTTGATTTTTTTTTTTCAAAATCCAATCCAAGTTGAAAGAGGACTTGAGTTCTATTTAGGTATTGAGTATAAAAAAGAAAAAGAAATAGAAGACCTATTGAAAAATACGCATTGAAGAGTACCTCCTCTATCCAATTTATATTTTCTTACTCATCCTCTAATTTGGATTTTCCCCACCCTTATTCTAAACAACAAATTTTTGATATAATAGATGCTTTGCTTTCAAAAAAAAATCCTTAACTCTGAATTAAACTATTATCCTTGTCAAATTAGAGTTTGTGGAAATAAAGAAAGCAAATGAGTAAATAAAAAATAATAAAAATAATCATATAAAAAATAACAAAAGTAGAAAACAAAAAACATAAATGCGAAAAAATAGTCATTCAAATACAAATAATCATTGGAAACAAAAAGGTATAAAAAGAAAATGAATAAATGATAAAAAATATGGTAAATATTCATTTGAATTGATAGTAAATACTTAGTTTTGTTAATTCTTTAATTGTAATTAATGCTTATATTTTAAAAAATAGCAAAAATAAAATACAATTGAAACTAATAATAGGTTGAATTAATAAAATACTTTAAAATAATAAAATAAAAAAATATCAAAAATTAATACAAATTTTGTCTAACAATACATAACCAAAAAATAATGTTTGGCCGGGTTGAAATCGGTCTGCCTCATCCCAACTAAGAATGTTACAAGGCTTCTTCATCTCAATTGCAAAGCTTGTTCATGGCATGGGCCCTACTAGTTAATAATATGGTATGGTTTTGGGCCTATTAGAATTAGATTTTTCTAGTTCGTTATCAAGTTAGGAATATTTTTGTATTTATTTTACCCAAATCAGACCCATCAACTATGAAATGTAAAAGTGACTTTCAAAATACTATGAAATGTAAAAGCATGGAACTAGGAAAGAACTGCATCACACGCATGGTGGGTCCCAGTGTTTTTGTAGGTCCCAGTTTTATGGTGAGATGAGCAGTCACATATCATGTTGGAACTGTGTTGGGACAATTTTTGTTGTGACTAGATCTTAGTTCCATTTTATTTGTTCTTATTGAAATATGTAAAAGAGCCTTTTTTTGGGGGTATTCTAGTCAATAAACACTCTAATATTGTCATTCATGGGCAAATTGCAAAATTTATTGTGTTTGAAAGCATGATAACACCATCTTCGGTTTCTTTACATCAAACCAATAGAAGGGGTCTTTTTATATAATTTCTCAAAATGTTGAGGAAGAATTTGAGAGGTCAAAATATAGAGTAGATTAAAGAATTTGTTAGAAAATACATGGGAACTTTAAGGCTGCATTTGGAATCAGTGTAAAACGTTATTGGTATAAAAATACACTGATAACATTTTACACTGAACCGTGAAAGTGACAGTTGCTTTTCGAAAAATGCAATGGGTGGAAGAGTGCAAAGTTTTACATCGATAAAGCTTTATGCTTGATGAGGTTTTACATCGATTATCGATGTAAAACTTTATGCTTGATGAGGTTTTACATCAATTATTGATGTAAAATTCCACTCCATCCAAACACACGCAAAAGTAAGGAGTTTTATGTCGATCATAATTACACGCTCCTTCCAAACGCCTATAAAACCGAAATGATGTAAATTTTACATCAGTTCTTGATTTACATCGCTTCCAAATGCAGCCTAAGTAACTTACCGATATAATTATATAGATATATAATTGTTCATGCATTAGATAAATAATTATATGTTGTACACACATATAATTATTTATATATGTATTATGTATTTCTTATATTTTATTAATTTTATTTTCTATTTATAATATCATTGATTGATTCATTTGACCTAGATGGTTGAATCACTAACTTGCTGCCCAGAGGAAAAATTTGGCGTATTGTATTGTATCTTTGGGGTCCTAATACACCTATTTATAGGTGCTTTGGGAATCCTCTTTTTTAATAAAAAAATATACATAAAACATCCCCAAAAACCAATTTTTTGGAAAAAACTAAAAAAAAGTATAAACACGCATGCTTTTTAGTACTGATATGTCTCTGCCAATATACAAGGGCGTATTGATACTTTGAACCATGATTTCTATTATAACTACATTTGGCCTGACATTAGTGGTATGCTAAATGTATGCGGTGAATAATCTAATAATATTTATCATAGATGAGGTAAAACATTCATCGTGGTGCATTTTAGGACAAAAGTAACTAATAGTCTCGTACCATAAGGCTCAGTTTGTAAAGAGTATAAATACAAATATGTATAATACAAATAGGCTCAGTTTGGAAAGAGTACAAATACATATTTATAGAGTGTAAAACCTTGTATTTTGTATTATTTTATATGTATTTACACTGTACATATGAAGATGATTACTAATGTGAACTAAGTAAATAAATGTAGAAAAAAAAGAAGAAAAAGTAGAGATTCAAGGAAAGCTTTTGGAATATCTCAACTCTATTTAAAATTACATTGGACTATATATAAATAGGAATCATAATTATCCATGCAATCACTCAATTCGTTATCAATAATGATTTGAAAGCTAGTTAGTACTGATATCTATTGTACCATAATACTCATGGGTCTTAAGACGAAGCCTAATCCAATCTATCATTAAGCTCATTGCTAATGATGCTTTTCTAACCAAATAAACACAAGCAATTTAGCAAACGGCCATGGGCCTCAATAAATATGGAGGTATTTCTCGTAGCATCCAAATACATAGCTTATTCTACAAACATAAAACGCATAGTTTATTGTCCTACTATTGTTCTTTTTGTTAGAAGATCTATGAGAACATTATTTTCAAATACCATGGACTTATAAAAGATAAGAAATATTTACTTACCTTAAGAGATGTGTTGGATCATCTCAACGGGGGAAATCCATTGATAACATTACATCTGTCTCCGAATTATACTGCCCAGATGCTTCACTTGGATAAAGGCTTAGTGATGTTGGATAGAGGTATGAAGGTTCATATAATAAGCTCTTGTTTTCTTCTTCTATCGGTTGAACCCATGGGTGTTTCTCTGACCTTCTCAATCCTTCTAGCTCCATTGCCACTTCTTTCGTAGTGGGCCTTTCTTCACTCTTCACATTAAGGCATCTTTTTGCAAGTTCAGCAACAACAAGAAGATTTTCTGTCTTTCCTTTATCTACAAATCGATTTTCAATAAGTTGAAAGAGAAGATTCTCTTTCATTAATGAAAGAAAATATGTGGCTAGGTTTCTTTGTTCTTGTGATCTTTCAAAAGAAAAAGGTTTTTCAGCTGTTAAGAGCTCAACAAGAACAACACCAAAGCTATAAACATCACTTTTCTCTGTTAACTGACTGGTATGAAAATACTCTGGATCTAAATACCCCAAGGTCCCTTGAACCAATGTGGTTATTTGGGTTTGATCCATGGGAACTAACTTTGAAGCTCCAAAATCAGATATCTTTGCTGTATAGTTATCATCTAATAATATATTTGTGGATTTGATATCTCTATGAATGATTGGTGTGGAAATTCCAGAGTGTAGATAGGCAAGTGCAGTAGCAGTTTCTGTTGCAATCCTCAACCGGTCTTCCCATGAGAGTAAGGAGATGCCATTTGTTTTATGAATGTGGCGGAAAAGGGTTCCATTGGAGACATATTCATAAACTAGTAAAGGAACTTCAGTCTCTAAACAACATCCCAAGAGCTTCACCACGTTTCGATGGTTAACTTGAGAAAGAATGATAACTTCATTTATAAATTGTTCAATTTGACTCTCATCCATGATTCTAGACCTTTTGATGGCAACAACTCGATGATCAAGTAGAGTTCCTTTATATACTATGCCTTGACCACCTCGTCCTATGATGCATTCTTCATTATAATTGTTGGTTGCCAACTTTAGCTCTTCAGTTGTAAAGATCTTTAAGAATTCTGAACCCCTTCCATTTAAAGATATTTGTTGTTGCAAAAATAGGCCACCATTTTGTCGAAAGAATTTCTCTTTTAACTTCATGAGTTCTCTTTTCTTTATGATGAAGTATAACCAAGAGACACCAATGAATAAAAATAGAATCCCAAAGCCTATACCTATAACAAAAATCAATTACTTGTCAATAAAGTTGTTATAGAAGCAGTGAAGAAAATTGTAAAATGCATGTCAAAGTTATTTTCAGATTGTGATTTTAAAGGAGAATCATTTCCAAAATTTATTAATAGAAAAGTTTACCATAAAGGTCAATTGTGAATATTATTCCTTCTAGTAAGTTTCTATGACACAAAATTATGTTTTTATCGGATTAGGCTTTTGTCAAAAGTTGTATGGGCCTGGGCCTAGGCCTGGAGTCTCGAGCACAAAACAGTGTAAAATACTCACTTGGATAAACTCAAGTTGCATCCCTAGTTATAGATCAGGCCTGAGCCGGCCTTTGGGCAATTGGGCCTATGCCATTAAGGCTTAGTTACAGAAGAGTGCAATTGCAATATGTTCAGTACAAAAATTTTGTACAAGACTATAAGGTATTTCTAAACCTTGTATTTGTAAATAAGAAGCCTACTAACCCCATTAAGATGCCCTATCTTATAAAGCCAAAAAGAGAATCAAGTGACGAATTCATACCTCGGCAACCATCAGGGAGATAAGGATTCCCCTCGTAACCTTGCTTGCAATGACAAAGATATCCAGGCCCATTTTTGGCGTTGGCGCAGTAGGTGCTGCTCCCACACGCATAATCGGATGCTCGACTTTGTGCTTCCTTGCAAGAGTTACTGCTACGAATTGCCCAGTCGAGTTTTATTGGAACGAACATCCCAATGTTGACAAGTTCTACCTCATTTCTTCTATTCCATAGATCGGTCGAATGTGATTCGAACCAGTCTTGGTCGGACAGAAAGGCAATGCTGCATTTGCTGATATTCTGAGTATAGGCTGTACTATATTCGTTACTAAAACTGCGAAGCGATAGCAGAAATGAACTGAGATCCTTTGGTATCACGGTCTGGCAGCACCCAATGCCATCACAAGATATCTTCGTCAATTTTGTAGCAGATGGACAAAATGAAATGCATCCACCTTGGAATATAATGCCGTTAAAGTCAGACATGATTCCCAGTGTGTTACATCCGATAACGGTGAATTTGTTTAGGGTGTTGGAGATCCTGTATCCCTCCGGCAGTGTCATATATGTGTTGTAACCTTCTGAGGTTTGGTTTTCCCCCATGTAACAGGAGATAGCAGACCACATGGATAGCGTCAGTTGGCCTTGTAATAATATGTTCGAGACCAACAGTGTAGAGCTGCCCAAAAGCTCCAGTTGGGGAGGGTCAACGGCGGTGTTACAGAGCAACACAAATTCATTTCTGAAACAGGTTGGATCATCTCCCTTTAGACCAAAGGGATATGGAATGCTAATATTCCCACATTTGTTCCGGCATCCCGGCTTTGTCTCTGATGATGTCAATGTTGCTGTCTCCGCAGATTATGGCAAGTGAATTTTTAACTAATATAGGAAACTGAAACTGGGAAGGTTTCATGATCATCTTCATCAATTTAAAATTTGAAACAAAGAAAAAAGAACAAATTCATACCTTGGCATCCTTCAGGGAGATAAGGATCTCCTTGGTAACCTTCCATACAGTGGCAAAGATGTCCTGGACCGGTGTTGGAGTAAGAGCAGTAAGTGTTGTTTCCGCATGCATAATTGGTGCTTCCTTTCTCACAGCTTTTGTTTACAATTGACCAGTCGTGTACTAAGCACCCAGAATTAAGGTTTTCTTAGAGTCATTTCTCAAATTAAACAACAAGTAATGAATGAAGTACTCGGAAGGACGCTTTCGTCCGTCCTGGATTAATGATCAAAATAAACTCCATATACAACGGCCAATCTAGAGAAGAAGCTAGCGTATAATTAACTTATTAAAGATATCTTCTGTATTGAGAAACAAAAGGAAGCCATTCAAAAGAATTTATACCTTGGCATCCATTGGCAAGATAAGGATTCCCGTGGAAACCTTGCAAACAATGACAGAGATATCCAGGTCCATTAGTGGAGTTAGTGCAGTAGGTGTTACTCCCACAAGCATAGCCAATCATTTGGCTTTGTGCTTCCTCGCAAGTACTCTCATTTCGAATTGCCCAGTCAAGTGTAATTCGACTGAGTCTCCCCCTTAGATTGTCTTTCACATTGTTTCTTTCATTCCAGAGGTTGAAAGTATCTAAATCGCCCCAGTTCTCGTCGTACAGAAAGGCATACCCACATTTGCTGAAGTTTAGAGCATAGATGGCCTCGTAATAGTTTCTAATTTTCATAGAAAATGAACTAAGGTTTGCTGCTATTGTGCTCTGGCAGCATCCATAGCCATTGCAAGATAAATTCGTGAGTTTCGTATCGTCCAAGCAGTATGAAGAGCATTGGCCATAGGACGACGAGACGTTATACTCAGTCAATACGCCACCAATCGCACAACCGAGAGTCATGAATTTGTTTTTGGTGTCCGAGACCCTGTACGCCTTTGAAAGATTAAAATATGAGATTTTTGGCGTGAAGTTTCCGCTTTCCTCCGCGTAACAGATCACAGACATCCAAGAGACGGTCTGCAGTTGTCCTTTCAAAGAGATGTTATAAACAGGCAGACCCTTGAAGGTCTGTAGGGGTGTGTCACTAGTGCCACTGCAGAAGAACTGAAAGTCTTTATTCAGGAAACAGTCGGGATTATCACCAATGCCAAACGGGTACGGGATGCTGAGGTTTCCACATTTATCCTGGCAGCCGAGCTTTGTCAGAGGCAACGTCGACAACGCTGCCACTGCTACTGCCACCTTCATCATTAGAAGCAGCCGTAGGAGGAGATGAAGCAAAATAGGCCAACACATGATTGTATGATATTTGGGAGTTAAAGGCATCCTGAAAGCTAGTGAAGGGGCCAAGGGAAACAGGGGGCTGCTAATACAGCTTCAAGTCACCGTGAATTGTCGGGTACGTTTCATTGACTTTGCCTGAGTCGTTACCTAATGGCGTTCGACAGGAGACCAGATGAAGCCGAACTAATGGCTGTTCCTAACAACTAGTCCAATGCAAAAAAGAGAATAAGAAGTAAATGTTGACTGCATGAATAGGACCATTTTTGGTCCTCCACTCAGAAAACACCAGGTCGTCATAACGTCCAAAAATCTGTCATAGTCGAAAGACAAAAATGATGGAAAATTTTGCCTGGTTGGAAAAAGCAGACATATTGTTGAGCTTCCTGCACATTTCACATTTCAAGGTTACGTAGCCAGGTATGCACCACCAGATGCCAACTCCTGGCTCTCTCCATCAATATATATGAATAAATCTTGCATGGGAACAAAAAATGGAGATGTCAAGGTAAGTTATGAAAAGGGCATAATTCTGAGGTTTAATATTCTCATCAGATTTATAGATGTTTTGTAAAATATTCACTCCTAGTGCTCAGATGTCTCAGTTCCCCGTTCATGGTGTCGTGGGTGGTTATTATTGGTTAAACAGCCCCTAATGCAGCCATCAAACGCAATGCATCCAAATGGGCTGAGCTCACAAGTAGAAAATTGTGTGGGTCAGGGATGCTGGACAACATGGTTGGTATATTTGCTACAATAGTGTGGTAGCCTTCGCTGAGACAACTAAATCAAAGTCTTGATTTTCTTTTATGACTGTTAGCGAGATGAAGTGACTTTTCGGTGGGGTCGACCTAAGGCCTTTGAGTTTCTGTTTTAGCCCTGCGATGCGGGAGTCTAGATCTGCGCCCCACAATGTTTCACACAGTACATCCAAGTCGTGTATTTAAAATATTTCCTAATCACATCATTGTTTCTGTATTATCATTTGGAGATATTTTCAATAGTGGGAATGTGTTGTAGAACGTTGTGGGGCGCAGATCTGAAGTGGTACGGTGTGGTAGAAAAAATGAATTCTGGTTTTAAAAGACAGTAAGCAATGTTTAATTTTACCTGCAGGTTAATCTGAGCCAACGATTTTGTCTATAAGGTGCTCCCATAGAAGGTTAGAAACCACACGACGGATGACACTTGGTGGTCGCTCGGTTTATCTCTAAGATTATTAGGGCTAAATTGCTGATACCTCCCCTAAAGTTTATGGTTGTTGTCGAAATCTCCCTTGAAGTTTGATAATTGCAATCACCTCTCTTAAACTTTATAACATAGTTGCAAGTAGACCACCCTTTTGTCACAATCCTCTAACAAGAGGCACAAAAATATCCAGAATATCCATGTAAATTTGAAAAAAAAAATCAATTTCAGAAAATAGATTGGAAGGGTTTGTGCTAACAATTTATATGAAGAGAAAGTAATTGCATCTGTATTTTGGGCATTTTCATTTTCTATACTTCTTTTTTAGAGGATTCTAACAAAGGGAGTCTACTTGCAACTACGTCAAAAGTTCAGGGGAGGTTTCAACAATTTACCCAATTATTATTTAAGGAAAATTCCACTTTGGAACCCTGAACATTGGGAGTAGTGTCAAGTTAGTATTCAAACTTTCAAACATGTCACTGTAATACCTAAACTTTAAAAAAGTGTCAAGTTAGTCCCTACTGTTAACCAAGTGTCAGTTATCTGTTGAAAATGTCAAAATTACCCTTCAAAGGAAGACATTGTTCATTGTCTTCTACCTTAAGATTGAACCGGTTAAGGTGTTTGAGATTCTAGACTAATGAAGCCATTGTCTTCAACCTTTAGATCTGAAACATATTCTTGTCTAGTTATTTCTTTGCTTTCAGTTATTGTTTCCCTTTATCACATTTCATGTTTTTTTCTCTTTTTCTTTGAAGATAACTGGTTCAGTCTCAAGGTAGAAGACAATGAACAGTATCTTCTTTTGAAGGGTAGTTTTGACATTTTTAACAGATAACTGATGGTCAATTAATGATAGAACCAACTTGACACTTTTTGAAAGTTTAGGTACTACAGTGATACGTTTGAAAGTTCGGGTACTAACTTGGCATTACCCCCAAAGTTCAGGGTACTAAAATAGAATTTTCCTATTATTTTTGTCATGTTTTGTACACCGAAGATTTAGGTTAATTTAGTACAAAAGGAGAGAGAGATGAATTAAAATTTTGGAATGGTCACGGTAATGTACGAGGCTAGTCACACAAACATGGCAATTCAGTTTTGATCTCCAATCCACAAGAACCCTATCCAAGCCTCACTACAGCTATACATTGACATCTCCTACATTCGCATATTACCCTATGGGGAGATGTCCCGTGAGTAGGAGATCTAAATTGCAATTATGAGTCTCAATCTGTCAACTTCAAAAATTGTGCTCTCAAAACACGGCATCCAGCTGTACATTTTAATTGTCCGATTCATACTTGCATCTTAATGATAGTGGTGCACATTAGTCATGATCTTGTCATTGTCTTTGAAACCTGTAATTTTCTTCCTTGATCTAAATCTCCTTCCTCTTCAGCTCATCATTTTCATGTCTCGTACCGGAAAGAAGATTCAAGCTGAAAATATCTACCCTCTCACTCTATCGAGGGACTTAGTAAAATTTCATTTTCTTATATTATCGAAAAGAGATATTATCTATATCTATATTATTATTAAAAGTGTAAATGAGGTTTAAATTTTGGATTTTTCATTAAAATACCCCTGCTTTTTAATTTGTTCCCTTCTTTATTATGAGGGAAAACACATAATTTGAATTATTAATTTTATTAAAATCATTCTATTATCTTATTTGTGAATTTGATCACTCCCTAACTGTGAGTAGAAAATGTAATGTAAATTACAACTATTATTTTTTATTTCATTCAATTTCCTCTTATTAAAGAGTTAACTCTCATTCTTTTTCTTTAGATGCTTTATTTGAAGTATTTTTTTATTTCTCACCAGTAAATTTTATTAATTAAATTTATATCCAACATGGAAAGCAAATATAGAGGGTATTGAATATAGAAATTATGTTACCTAGCTTGAATTGTTCAAAAATAATTGAATCTACAACTCGTTAGCATAAAAAACCGAAAGAACGACAAATGTTGATGGAAAAAATAAACTTTCACTCCTTTGGTTGGTTGATAGAAGAGCCATGATCCACGTCATAGCCATCTTCCACAGCAGAAGTTTAAAGTTCTAATGTTAATATGGGTGACGTCTTTTATCCACCTTTGGAAGGAGCTATCCCTCCTTTATGGAAAGAGAAAAGGTAATACTGTTGATCATCATGAGGTACCCAGAATGTATGTTGGATATGTTAAGGGATAGAGGTGAAATGAGAAAAAAGATGGCTGATCTAACAGACTTGTGTTTGTTCTCTGAGTCGTAGAAACAATTAAGGTGCACATGGGTTGTCTCTTCAACACTTATTTTCGTCTACAGACTACAGTAACGTTTCCAAAACGAAAATGTACAAAATATTTTATGAAACGACTAAGATGGCTTGTTTCTTTGTCTAATATTTATAGGTGCACATGGGTTCTCAGATTTATAGATGCATGTTTTGTAAAATATTCACTCCTAGTGCTCAGATTACTTGTTTCTTTGTCTAATATTTAACAACCATTTAGTTCTGTGTTCAAAGTTTGAAAAGGTGAGATTGAAGAAACCAAAACCAGAATCAAGGGAACTAGGCAATAGACATATGGCTGGGATTGATCCAGCTTACTACGGTCACCGTTTAATTAGCAAGTCAACTAATTTAATGACTCTATCTCCATCATCTTAAATTCAGAACAGTAAGTCAATGAACTATCGCGTCGTTTCTTTCCTTGTCTTGATTGAACGAGCAATTTGCCATACTAATAAACTGAGCATTATGGACTTTGCTTCTGGTTCAGTGCAGTAGCAACCGTATTACACATCTTGTATGCGGCGGTAGATCGATTTCAAAAATTTTGTATCTTGTTGATAAACAGTCTACTAGAAGCTGGTGGGTCACGGTTTAACTCTTACTCGGTCTGGTTCGAATGATTTGATTAATGGGGTGTTATTAATAATACACAGTAGTGGTGGCAAAACAAAGAAATAGTTCACATTTTTTTTACAACATTTTACATATTGCTAACAGGTCACTAGTTCTCTTTGATCAATAACATTTTCCGAAGATAAAATTTGATCAATTAATTTAATAGATATATTTCTTATTTTTTTTTAATTTCTCTATTATATCTTATGAAATTTCTTCAATTAAACCAAAATATAGGTAGGCGATCCAATGTGAACTGTTTGTTTGTTTTGTTTTGTTTTGTTTTGTTTTTTGTGTTCAGTCGTTCTAAAAATAATTTGAAAATGATTGGTATTTTCGTTTTAAAACAAAACAAAGTTCAATAATGCTTTTTTATTTTTTCTTATATGGTTATTTAAAAAACAAATAAAAACAAAAAATTCCATAGAACATTCCCTGTGTCTTGTCTATCCTCCCTCTCGCTTTCTATACACTAAAGAGAAGAGAGAGATGAAAGAGGATACATAGAAAAATTGAATGTACTAAAATTTGGTGGGCATGGAGCTCATGGTATTGTAAAGATGTAGGAAGATGTCGACATTAACAACCAAATAATTCTAATAATAAGGCTTCATGTCACAATTATAATTTCGTGTGTAGCAGGGGCTGGGCTGCAAGGGTAATATGATTTTAAAGCAATTTATTTTTGGAGAAGTAGGGACAGGCCCGATGCAGATTTCTGATTTTCACTGCATAGTTATAAACATTCAAAAGGTCAACAATTCACTCTATGCACCGATGCCGTCGATGAATTGGCATCAATTCCAAGTTAGCACCTACCCCAACAGTATTTTGTGCCTATAAATTCTGACCCTAGACTGAACTGTCTTTCTCCCATTTATTTATTTTTTTGGTCCAAAGATTCCAAAATCATTATCTATCCCATCATGGTTCGCATTCAATTCTAAATATCTACAAGAAGATTTATCTTTATTTTTTTGAAAGCTATTCACTTACCGGGTAACTCATAAAATTCCATAAATCTCTCTCGGTTCTGAATCACACCTCTCTTGGTGGTATTATGATTAGAGTTTGAGTCAGCTATCAATAGAAGCTTAGATATCCATAAAGCATCACCTTCAATAACAACTGGGTTGAAAGAGAATTCCTTTGTAAAAAAGAAAGCCATAAAAGAAGGCCTAACCTTCAGTTTCAACAGAAGATAACTTATGCAGAGGAATAGTGTGGGAAAAAAGATGATTTCCTCTATTATCAAGGGCTACCATGTTAGACAGTGTGTATATCCTCAACTCC